TGTGGATGCCTTTTATTTTATTTTCTTGCCTAATTGCCCTGCCTAGGCTCTCTAGTACAATATTGAATGGGTGTGGCATGAACATCCTTGTCTTGTTCTTCATCTGTAGGGGGAAAGCTTTCAGTCTTTTACCTTTAGGTTTGATGTTAACTGTGAGTTTTTTCATAGATGCCTTTTATCAGGTTGATGAAGTTCTCTTCTGTTCTAGTTTCTTGAGCATTTGTATTATGAAGGGGTATTGAATTTTGTCAAATGCTTTTTATACTTCCATTAAGGTGATCATGGTTTTCCCCCCTTCATTCTATTACCGTGGTGTATTACATGAATTGATTTTTACGTGTTAAACCAACCTTGCATTCCAAGGATAAAGCCCACTTGGTCATAGTGTATAATCCTTTTTTTTTTTTTTATTGCTGTGCTCAGTTTGCTATTATGTTGTTAAGGATTTTTGCATCTATATTCAAAGAGAGATATTGGGGTTATAGTGTTCTTTTCTTGTGGTGGCATTTTCTGGTTTTGGTATCAGGGTAATACTGGCCTCATAGAATTAGTTGAGAAATGTTCCTTTCTCTTCTATGGTTTGGAAGAGTTGTGAAGAATTGTTATTAATTCTTTAAATGTTTGGTAGAATTCAGTGGTGAAGACATGTGGTCCTGGGTTTTCCTTTGTGGGTAGTTTTTAAGTTCTGATTCAGTCTATTTTCTAGTCATAAGCAGCGTGAGGTTTTGAGGATGTCAGATGATAGTAGGCCAGAACCTGGAAATGTCTTACCTATTGCTTATACTTTCTTTCCTCAGGATTCCAAACCAAGAGAACTTTAAATTCAAGATTAGCCAAATCAGCCACAAAGTACCAATATATTTATATTCATTTATTAGTAAATAAACCAGTTCCCACTAACCCTCACTGCAGGAGTAGTAAATAAGAAATAAAGAAAAATTTGGGCCTAGAGGCCATATCAGGGCTTCTTGCTTCCTTCTTGTAGACTCTAAGCCATATTTGCAGAAGCCGCAGCCTCGCTACACCTTTCAGGTGCAAGCGCAGAGCAGAAGGAGAAAGACTGGCTGTGTTCCCCTAAAGGAGGTAAGTCTTAAACCAGTCAGCTCACTTCACCAAAGCAGGAAGTACCAGGGCCTATTACACATTTCATGCAAAACGACTCTGCTCACTTGTAAAGTATAGCCCAATGGACACCCTGGTCTTTGCGCAGTCAGATTGGCAGTTCCTCCCTGCCAGATGCTAGGAAGGGAGACATGGCAGTCAGAAGCTGGGGGAAGAAGCCAAACTTCCTCTCCTACAAGGAGAAAAGGTATAGATTATATCTAGTTTGTTCTTCCAGTCCTAAACTAATGGCTCATTTTAAAAAAAAAGATTTATGCCTGGTTATTATTGCAAAAATCGTGGAGTGGAAGCAGTATGGCGTAACTCATAAAAAAAAAAAACAACTCTGGAATTGGACAGACCAGCCTTTGAATCCTGACTGCATTCTGTACTAGCCTGGTGACATGAGCAATGTTTCTTCTGCAAGCCTTGGTTTCTTCAGATAAAATGGGAATGATAAGACTTGAAAGAGTAGCTGCAAAACTAAATGGGATAATTCTTGCATAGAACCTTGCAGTATATGACAAATATCGGTGCTCGGTAAATATTCGGTATTGTCACTAACTTTAGGAACTCCAGAGATCACAGGGCAGCCATGTTGAGTAAATTGAGCCCCAGAAAGATGTAGTGACTTACCTGGGAGGATACATTTACTTCATGGCAGAACTAGAATAAATTAGAACTTGAAAAGACACACTTTTAGGGCTCTTCCTTTCCTTCAGAAAGGAGAACTGGGGAAGAGGGAATTTTTTAGTTCATTCTTTGTTACTGCTCTTAGAATGTGAGCCTCAAGATTCCTCTGCCCAGCTCAGTCCCTTCCAGGAACCTGAATGCTCACACTCCTCCTCCAGAAGTGCTGGGCTCATTCTGGCCAAGGGTAGCTCCAGAAAACACCATTGTTCTTTCTAAATGTTCCACCTTTTTTCTTCCATATGGAATAAACCATTCAGGAGCTCCTCCGTGCCCTGCACTATCCCAGGAGTTCTGAGGAAGCAACAAGCCCTTTTCTCAAGGATTTGACTGAGTGAAACATTCCTTTGACTTCCAGTATCCTTTGTGATTACTGGAAAGAGCTGACCCTGCTCACATCGATGGACATGGGGGTGCAAGAGGGAATGTCACACAGATGCTGATCTCTGAGGCACAGTGACCCTACCACTGTCCCCTTTTATCTCCCCCACACTCTCACCCCACCCCACAGGGTCCTGGAGAACATCTCATGCTAATTTTGTACTCATTATTTGAAAATAGAAAACTCCAAATAAAATCTCAACATCCTCTGACCCTGCAGTTGTACTCTTTATAGGTCATTTCTTAAAATTGTACAATCGTTCCATAGTGATGGGAGAAATAACCTCAGGGGTTGGCTGCTGTAGGATTTAGGCTGATAATGGGGATAATAAAATGTCTGTAAAATCTGCAGGGGTGAGGAAAGACCTTTGGCATTCCAATAATAATTATATCATTTGGTTCATTAACATATATCTCTTAATATTATAAACATAGTTATCGTCCATTTTAGATTTATTAGAACTAGAATGTTTGTAAAGAATAAAACCTTAAAATAGGAAAAGTTAAATATTTTAGCTAACTGATATAATCCCTTTCAGTTTAAAATTTAATATTCCTCTTCTGTGATCATAACAAAATCTGTTTAAAGAAATGTACTGCCATGTAAGTTTTAAACTCTTATGCTGAATGGAAAGCATCAGCCTAGTATTTTAACCTGTTAAAGCATTTCTTTATTCCTGAAGACTCTAAGCATAAATGATCCTGCTTATAATTTATGACATTAATTGCCTTTGGCAGTACTCTGATCTATTTGTTATTATTGCTATTATGAAGGTAATTATAATTATGTATCTCCTGAGAAGATAAAGGTTTTGTAGGTCTGTATGCAAAGTATTTGAAGAAAAGATTATTTTACTGCCTAGCTTCAAGCAAAGACTATTGTGCAGGACCTTTTATAGACATAGATGAAATTCCTTTTGCCATTTGAACAATGTTTACATTCAGGAAAGTTCATAGTTAAGTCTTTGACATACTGTGAAAGGATCTTTTGTTCTCTAGAAAAACATACTTCCTCATCCTTTGAGTCACCTTGTTTTTATTCCCTTGTTTACTTTTCTGGGGAAAACATGCCCACCTCCCAAGTAATGTCAGGGGAAGACCTGTTTCAGAAATCCACGTTGCTCTCCATGAGGAAAGAGGGCTTGGTTTTTGGCAGAAGAAATCTGAAATATTTTTAAAACCTGAACCAGATAAATAATGTAATCTTAACGTTCCAAAAATTATTTGGATAGGATTCTTTCCAAGGCTAAAAAAAGGAAATCTTTTTTCATCATCATAATTAACAGTGATCAGGCTCAGGAAATGTGAGACACTCTCCTTGGAGGACTGTAGACATAGTCCCAAGGCATTCTTCTATTGTGTTAGGAAAGCTGTCCTCTGCTAACTATGTATATTCTCCTAGACATGCATAGTTTAATGTTTTCTCCTAACTGGTGGGACCCAGGACTAGTTTTATAATAAGCTTAGGCTTCAGTCAGTCAGACCTGAATTCTCTTAGTGGTATTTCTTTATCAGTAAATAATGTGACTGATTGCACATGTGGCTTCGAAACTGGTTTGGAAGGGAGAAAAGATTGCTATTTTGTTCATTGCTGTATGCCCAATGCTAGCATGGTGCCCTGAAATTACTGGACACCCAGTAAACATTTGTTGAATACATGAATGATATGAATATTTTAATACATATAAATTCAGGGTGACAATTTCAAATAATAGTCTTTTGAATTTTTTTGATATTTTGTTTTTTTAAATAATAGTCTTTTAAATACATTCTCATGTGTTTTGAGAGAATCTTATTTGTCTATAGATATACTCTATATGTATTAATGTTGAGTGTTTATCCATACCTAATTTGCATAAGTGGAAGATTACTTGTGGTTTAGGGATTATCTATTCAAACCCTTCTTCAGTCACCCTAAACCTGAGTCATCCAGAAAATGTATCCTAAAAGCTTTTAATCCTCATTTGTGTCCTAGGTTTTACCATGTTCTAGGATGTTTCCATATATTTTAGGTTTGATCTTCATGCTCTAGGACGTTTCCATTGGAGCAGTTTTTTTCTCTGTAAATGCTAAATATAGATGTGTTTTACTACCATTGTAAGAAAAGCTAGGGATGTCATATGTGGGGGAAGGTAAGAGACTGAAGCTTGCCCATTGCTGTTAAGCCTTCTACCTACTTTCCTCCATTTACTGTTTGTATCTCCCCATGTGATAAATGACAACAATCACATTTTATAGATGAAGAAACAGAATCTCAGACAGATTATGTAATATACCCAATGCCCTATGGCCAGTAAGTGGCATTATCAGATGTGAGCCACCAAGGCAAGCACTGAGTGTGCAGGTCATGTTCAAGATTGTCTGGTATAATGCAGTTCAGACCGTGTGTAAATACTATATTTTACTAACCTTCTGAAAGATACACTAGCCCTTTGATCCAGTGTCCTATTTACTGATGTACATTTCTTTCTATAAATCTGATATATATTAAAAGGAAAAATGATTGCTTTTCAGACATATTCCTTGCTTTCTTAAGCCATGATATATATTTTAGAAAACATTGAATTATGCAACTTTCAAGAACACATTCATTGTTTAAGGCCAGTGTAATATAGCAAGAAGAATCTAATAAACCTGGCTTTTGGAATGTGTCGGACTGATATTTGAATCTTAGCTCCACCAATCAACAGCTATGTGACAGTAAATAAATTGTTTTACTTCTCTAAGCCTAAGAGTCCTATCCTACGAAGTAGGAATAATGCCCACTATGGAGAACTATGAATATTAGAAGTAATATATATATAAAGGGCCTAGACGATAAACAACATGAGGGCAGGGATCATGGATGTACTGTTTACATTGTCATTCCGGTGTGTGGCCCAGGCACATGGTCGGCACTCATCATTGGTACTCACTGAATGAATAAATGAATGAATGAGCGAATATGACTCAGCAGCCAGATTAGGTTCCACTGTTCAATTCTACAAATAACAATCTTTAGCAATCTTTTTTTTTCCTTAGTAATGTTTTTTGTTTTCTTTTTTTTCTTAGTAATATTTCTCTTGCATTGTCAGGTCAATAAAAGGATAACAAATAAATGCTAACTCTGGTAATAACAATACAAAAATCAGGAAAATTTCGTAAGAAGCTTTAGTGAGAGAAAAATGGTACACATAAGTAAATGGAAAACTCAAATCTGATATATCTGATTTTTAAATTTTTAAAAAATTTGACAAGCAAGTATAATAGATTGAAATGCAAATCCTAATTTGGAACTTGTAGGCAGAGAACTTCCTTTTCCTTGGCACTTCCGCATATTTTATTCTCATTTTTTAAAGTAGCTATTTCTCTCAAGTCTTGCTTGGAGCAGTCATGTGGCTAGAAATGTTTTGAGTCACCTTCATGCCACATCTTTTGTAGCTGAGAGCAAACATGTTTTCAGAAGTAATCAAGTTCTTATTTCAGCTGCCAGAGCCATAAAAGGGGCCTGCCACAATCTGGGCAGAGCCCTAAGTTAGTTAGGAAACATCAGTTTGGTATTTGTAATATTTGCAGCAACACTGAACTTCCTGAGTGAGGTCATGAATGAACAGCACATCATGAGTGTTATTATGTGAATCGGACAGAGTGTACAATTCTCGTACGACCCAAACTTCAGAAAATATCCTTGATGAAAATCTTGAGTTATTTTTTCCCCAATGCTGATATGAACATGATACATATGTGGCTCATCTCTACTGAAAAATGAATGTTTTGTACTTTTTCACTCTCAGAAAATAAAATAATAGTAATAATAGCTAACTCATATAGCACTTAGTATGGCCAGACTCCATTCTAAGTAATTATTGTATTAGCCCCTCTTACCCCACAGTGACCCTATCAGGTAGGTGCCATTATTATCCTTATCTTAT